AGAGATATAAAGTCTCCTTAAAAAGACCCTTATTCTATGCAGATTCAGCCAGTCAGTGTGAAACAAGAAGCAAGAATATCATGGAAACACAGCATCTATCAGGCAGAAAAGAAAAGGCAGAAAAAGTAGATAATTCCAATTATCCATTGACTTGACAATTCGTTTCCTATCTTTAAAAAGTATCTAAACTATCATCTCTCTGCAACGACTCTCTCAGATCAGTGGTAAAAAACGACTTTGAGTGAGTGAAATCTCTAGTTCTTGGTGAGGACCATTCTTCTTCAAACCTTGTGGACTGGTGCTACAGAACCAGAACAAAGAACTAGTGCCAAAGAAGAGAAACCACATAATAAAGATGTTAATATTCCACACTACTTCAAACAAAAGGCACACATCCCCCATCAATACTGAAAAGAGTAATAACAGTGAACTTGGGAAACCTATTTTCTTGAAAAATTGTTTTAATAGAGATAGTAACTGTAATACAGTGTGCAGCAGACATACTGCCCACGTCATGGTAAGATTAGCTACATGAAGACACCATTACCACTAATGTCTTAATGTGGGAGGTATTTCTGCTGCACACTGTATTAACAATTTCCTTATGTGGAAACATTCAGTGACCAAGTAGCCAGAAGTACTTTGGATTAAAATTTATAAAATTTTTCACTTAGAACAATTTTTCAGGATAATATGTTTTCTAAATTCATTACTCTTTCCAGTACTGATGGGGTTCTTTCTTGTTAACTTTTTTTCAAAGTGGTGTAAAGCATCTTGACTATATCATTATTTTCTCTTTGATTTATATCGATATCATTTTTACTTGTTGCTGCTGTAGAAAGAGATTATTATTTCTGACTAACAATAGTACTGGCTGCTCAGTCAATTAACTTTTCCTACTAAGGAAGCGGTTACTACTACCATTCTCATTACCATTATCATGCTCACCTGTTTTCTGGCTTTAAATTGCCCCCTAAAATTCATAAAGCTAACTTAGTCTCATCAAATAATCTTATTCCATTACGTAACTGATTTGTATAAATGCTTCATGGAAAATTTTAGATTTGCCTCCATGTGTGATTTTTTGTTTTCATTCTGTGATGGAAATTTCAGTTGAAAAGAAAGACACAGCTTGATATCTGTGTTACAAGTCTTATTTTACAAACTGGAGTAGATAGGTTTGCCTATTGCCTAGTTCACACTCATTCCCTTTATTTCAAACATTAGTTTGAAATAAAGGGAATTATCACTTGTTTCCTCATTAGGATGGGGTATCTTCTCATTCTCTTTGACTCCCAGTAATACTTTGTGTCTTAGTGGCATTATCGGCTTTCCTGGAGTAAAATGTTTAAAAAAAAAAAAACATGTAAAAACCTTATGGCTTATAACACACTAAGAATAGATGAGTTCATTTGAGTGTAGAATTGGAAATAAAGAAGGAGTATTTGATGAAATATTTTTTAAAAAAATCATCGATTTTTTTTGTGTGTGTGTGTGTATATATATATATATATATATATATATATATATATATATATATATATATATATAAAGCATTCATTTACTCTGAAATTCGTCCCACACTCTTATACATACACTGTCACTAAATTTTATTTTTTGTTCCTGGAGTTGTTTTTTCTGTTTTCTTTTTGAATTTGTAGGTTTGATGGATTGGGTTGTATTAACGATTCCAATGGAATAAATTATGACCATGGAATATTAGTGTTTAAGCCTTTTTATATATATATATATATAAAGTTCAGAATAGTTCAGAGCAGATAACATTAGAAAGATTTTAGAGTCCCATGAAAATAAGTGGATACAATGTCTAAAAACACAATATCCAGCCGGGCTAACCCATAAATTTAACAATATAGATAGTACTAATTTATAACTCAACAAATCAAAACCTACCCACATTTCTCACCCACATAAGACAGACATGCTTACGGAGGTGTGTAAGCCTCACACTTATACACACACCCACATGAATATACACACTTACACACATCATACTCACGCACTCCCACTCATGAGCCAAATGATAACACACACCCACAGCAATACACACGCTTACAAATATCATACTCACTCACTCCCTAAGAACCAAATAACACACACACAAACACTAAATAGAGACACATTCCCTCTCCAGGACCAATAAAACTGTCAATATGCCCACGGAAATTCAGAGAAGCATAGATCCATCCAGCTCTTATCTCAAATAACAACTTAAAAGAGTCTGTTTGACCAACACAAGGAATGTTAAATGATTCATGTTAAAAAGATAAAAAAATAAAAAAACAAATGAAAACTACAGATAAAAGTTCATTTTCTCCAGGAAGACATTCATTTCTCTAGTTTACTGCTACCAGTAAGCAGAAATATTTCTCCTCCCGATGATGGCCATTTCGGCCAAAACTAGTCGAGGAATCTAAATGAAATAAATAAAAATAAAATAAAAATGAAAGAATATTAATCTACAACCCAGTGTGTGTGAAGATTTTATTTTTTTAATATCTTTTATTGTTCAAAATATATATATCAACTGAAATTTCCATCACAGAATGAAAACAAAAATTGCCACTTCTAAAAAAAAAAAAAAAAAGCACATGGAGGCAAATCTAAAATTTTCCATGAAGCATTTATACAAATCAGATACGTAATGGAATAAGATTATTTGATTTGATGAGACTAAGTTAGCTTTATGAATGTTAGGAGGCAATTTAAAGCCAGAAAACAGGTGAGCATGATAATGGTAATGAGAATGGTAGTAGTAACCGCTTCCTTAGTAGGAAAAGTTAATTGACTGAGCAGCCAGTACTATTGTTAGTCAGAAATAATAATCTCTTTCTACAGCAGCAACAAGTAAAAATGATATCGATATAAATCAAAGAGAAAATAATGATATCGTCAAGATACTTTACACCACTTTGAAAAAACGTTAAGAAGAAAGACCCCTATCAGTACTGGAAAGAGTAATGAATTTAGAAAATATATTATCCTGAAAAATTGTTCTAAGTGAAAAATTTTATAAATTTCAATCCAAAGTACTTCTGGCTACTTGGTCACTGAATGTTTCCTCATAAGGAAATTGTTTTTATATATATATATATATATATATATATATATATGAATTTTTAAAAATATCTTTTTCTCTATTCAATATTATTTACACTATTACCTGCAATAATTGCTACAAGGAATACAATAGAGAAACCCCGAGAAATTAAAATTTACAAAACAACACATTAAATACATTAGTTGTTCATCATAAAAAGACTGACCACAATTTTTATTTAAAAAAAAATGCTACTCTGAAAAAAAGAGAAAACAATTTACTGAGATGAAAATATTTAGAATGTACTTTAATTGCTATATATCAGCCACTAATTCTGTTTCAAGGTTCTTAGAATGTTTCATCTTCGATTATATTACAATGTAGGATATTTAATAACAAAAGTGATAAAAAGAAACAGAATCTAAATGATTTTAAATTCTAAATTATTTTTTTTTTTTACTCTTGTGGCAGTAGAGACTTCTGGGATTATTGGCCCTAATTCAATGGCATTCTTTTGGAGGGTGGACAGGATGGTGTCTCGATTAAAAGAACAAGCCTCGTGAAATGGTGTGGCTCTTGCAGTGTGTCTCACTGGTGATGGTGCAAGGTAATACTTCTCCATCATTGCACCTGGCAGAGAATAGCAAAAATAAAACATTTTAATTATAAATGTTTTGTTTAAACTTTGTTCAAATAAATTCTTTGTCTCTAAAAAAAAAAAAAAAAACAATATTTTAAATTTGTGTAGTTGTGTCCACTTAAACATAAACTTAATCCGATGGAGTCCAAAAGGATGAAACACGTTACACAAAAATCTTTTTTCACTTTGTCATACTGTTTCATCTAAAATTAATTTTCATATATAAAAAATTTATATTTTGTTATCCTGTATATATATATATATATATATATATATATATATATATATATATATATATATATATGTATGAGTGAATTGGTGCAGAAAGTAGAATTCTATTTCATTCACCTTGAATTAATTCCTTTAGAAAAAGCATCAATCTATCTTGCTCCAGCTATGAGTCAAAGAGCAAGTCAGAGTCATCTTTCTTGCCTTGGTTGCTAGCCACTCTATGATAAGGACAACTCTGAATTCAAAACCTGTAGAAGAATATCTGGACTTTTTCATGGCACACCTGTTTTGCACCTGTTTTCTGTCATCATTTCTTTGTCATAATAACTAAATTGTGTGTAGGAATTCTGAACTGTTGTGCCTTCATATATTGAAAGCATATACACACACACACACACACACACACATATATATATATATATATATATATATATATATATATTATTTATTTAAAAATATGATTCCAAATCGCTACATAAGAGGTCTCATGTTTCAAAACATGAGACCTCTTATGTAGCGATTTGGGAATCATATTTTAAATAAATAATTATATTTATGCTCTACTTTTGTATCGAGCACTATTTTTAAAAAATAATAACTAAAATACTAAGGGACTTTGGATTTTTTACCTAACCAGTTCCTTCCTATTTTCTATATATTTTCATATATATATATATATATATATATATATATATATATATATATCTATATGAGAGTGCAACAGAAAGACAGATATGCATATATATATATATATATATATATACACACACAAATTTTGTGACAATTTCTTAAACATATTTTCATATATTATATATTTGTCTGTTATTTTCAAGAAATATTTTATTTGTATCACAGAGATTAAGTTTTATCCTAGTGTTCAGAGAATCTTAAGAAATTGTTTAGTTCATTTTTCTGTCAAGATAACCAGCATTCACCAAACACGTTAGTTATCATCTGCAGTCAATTCATCAGCAATTTTAAAAGAAATTTCTGTGAAATTTTTCTTTCTTTGATTAAACCATGGCATATCTTAAGTGCCCCAAATTTTTTGGGTAACATGACTTAAATATGCAACCCATACCCCTATACACAGTAGGATTTATTTTTTTTTTTTTTTCTTCTCTTTTGGCATAAAAGAAATTTGTTCCCCACTTTTGTATTTTTATTTCTTCTTTTTTTTGACCCCCTGAACTTTGTAGTTGAGCCAATAATAGTAATTGTAGTGTCAATGCTGAGAACATATTTTGGTATGTGTTTAAGCTTTAAAAAAAGAAAAGTTATTACAGAGGCACAAAATCAAATAGAGATTACAGACACAGTAAAGTCTTTTTTAAATTTTTCCAATTTTTATAGCAGATTTTCAGAGTTGATGTATTTTTCAAATGATTTTTTACTTCCTTCTTTTATCCATTTTATTTTTTCTATCATTCTTCTTTTATAGCATTATTTTTTAAAATCATTTCTCCTCCAAACAAAGCAATAAAGCCACTAAGATGCAAGACGGATATGTAATATAATTGGCCCTGATCTGGCTTCTCGTCTACAGTCACTCTCTCACAGACGTGTCGTCGCCTCTCTCTGTCTTTTCTACAAATATTTTCATGGTAATTGCTCCGATGAGCTGCTTTCACTGGTTCCCAGACTCCATGAATTCAAGTGCCCTATGAGGCTGGCATCCCGCTCCCACCCTTACACTGTAGAAACTTTTAAATGTAGCTGTCTCTTCTACTCCAATAGCTTCATATATCACACCTCTCACCTGTGGAACACCCTTCCCAATTACTGTTTCCCTGAGAGCTATAATCTCCAACTATTCAAATGTAATGTCAATCGACATCTCCAGTTACCTTGATCTATCCACTCTCTCATCATCCTTTCTTCTATCACTCCTATCTGCTCTTGCTCCAAATCTTCTGCAACCCCCTGCATCCTAGTGGCTTCACGCCTTGCTCGGGGCATAATGCTTAAAAAAAAAAGAAAAAAGAGGTAACTGAGTTTCAGAGTATATGAGGAAAAAAAACACTGTAAAGGAAAGAGAACAATAAAAGAACAGGAAATGAGAAGACAGAAGATAATGAGTGACATTACATTTAAATTTTTAAAGATCAAAGTTGATGGGGAAGCAAGAAGCTAAAAGAGAGTTCCACAAGAGAGAAAGGCAATAGAAAAAACTGTTAGTATAGAACATAGTTACATCTAACCATTTCAACTGTAAAATGATGAGACCTTGCCACCAATCTAGTAATATGCTTAAATTGATAAAGTCTAGATAGTAGAGAGGAAAGTCATTCTTTGGTTCTCATTTCTTAAATTCTTTTTCTTTATATACTCATTCATTTTTCATTTTTTTTTATTCTAATTTATTTTTCATTTTCTTTCTGTTCTTCCTTTTTCATTTTCTCTTCTCTTTCACTTTTCATTTTCTTTCAATTTCCTTTCTATTCTCATTCATTTTCTTGCTAATTTATTTTTATTTTCTTTCTGTTCTCATTCATTTTTCATTCTGTTCTCATTCATTTTTCATTCTGTTCTCATTCATTTTTCTTTCTGTTCTCATTCATTTTTCATTCTGTTCTCATTCATTGTTCTTTCTGTTCTCATTCATTTTTCATTCTGTTCTCATTCATTTTTCTTTCTGTTCTCATTCATTTTTCATTCTGTTCTCATTCATTTTTCATTCTGTTCTCATTCATTTTTCATTCTGTTCTCATTCATTTTTCATTCTGTTCTCATTCATTTTTCATTCTTTTCTCATTCATTTTTCACTTTTTCTCTTCTCTTTCATTTTCTGTTTTCTTTCTCTTCTCATTCATTTTCTTACTAATTCACTTTTCATTTTCTTTCTATTCTCATTCACCTTTCACTTTCTTTCTATTCTCTTTTATTTCTTCCTTTTTTAATTCATTTCTTTTAATAATACTTCAATTCTTTCTTTTCTTGATTTCTTTAAATTATTTTTCTCTAATATTCTCTTTCTTTTTTCTTTTGCCCTAACAGTCTTTCTTTTTTATATATATATATATATATATATATATTTTTGATAATAAATTGTACACATTGTGGAAATAGGACAAGAACAGTGTGGTTTCATTAAAGACACTGGAACAAGGGATACAATATTTATGATCAGAATATCAGAGCAGTACAAATGTAGATGGATGTATGCATTTGTTTCATGAACCACACAAAAGCATTTGATGAGGTATATTATAAAGATCTACTTGAACTGCTTGGAAATTTGACTTATCTGGGAAAGATATTTGAATAATCTAGAATATATACTAGGAGCAAACCACCTGCATATGAATAGAAAATGAATTAAATATATAAAACTGGAAAGAAATGTAATACAACTATATGTCATCAGATGTATTCAAGTTTTAGAGTGAGGTTTATTCTCAGAGAACTAGAAGTTCTCCAAGGAACTACTGTCAGTGAACATGATCTTAATAACTTCAGATATACAGATGACACCATGTTAAATGCAGATTCAGAAAGAAAACTGTAGAAATTCCTAGACATGGTAGTTAATGAAAAAAAAGAAAGGACTAACAATCAAGTGTAAGAAGACAAAAAGTGTTGTTGTCAGCGAGAAAAACTTCCCAAGATGTGAGCTATAAAGTGTCGATTTCAAAATCAAGCAAATAAAGAAATTTAAATATCTGAAAAGGGTTTTAACAGATGATTGAAAATTTGAAACTCAAATCCGAAAGTGAATTGCAATAGTAAAAGATGCATCTTCAACCTTTCCTCTTTCATGCCTCTTTACTCTCCCACTCTCTGTAACCCCTTGTGTGCTAGTGGCACTCCCGTTTTGCTTGGGGTGAAAAGCTTAAAAAAAAAAAAAAAAAAAATTTAACAGGCCACTAAGAAGAAGAAGAAAGATTTCATTAGAAACAAAAAAGAAGACTGAACTACTGTACAATATCAACTCTCTTATATTGCAGATATTCTGGACAATTTCCCACAGATCCCAAAGGTTTGAGCCGACAGAGATGTCATTTTTTTAGAATGATACTGAGAATACCATGGATGGAACACATACACAACAAGGAAATTTTAACAAAAATAGAAACAGAAAGGATGCTTATACTTTGAATTCGAAAGAGACAGTTGAAATTTTTGAGACATACTTAGAAAAGAGGGCACTCACATAACATACTGAAGACAAAAAAGAAAGAGAAACAGTGAGGAATCTACCTAATGAAGAGCACAACAGGGAGTAGGAGGAATAGTAAAAAGACAAACATTACTAAGAGCTACAAAGGATAGGAAGTTATGGAGAGACATGATCACCTCTGTCCTAAAGGGAAACATCATATAGAAGAATGTATTTGATACCAGATTTATTTTAGAAACCTTTAATTTATACTGGACTATACAATTGGAAACTAATGGGTTAAGGTTTTTTTTCTTTATCTTTTAATCTCTTTATCTTTTTAATTCTCTTTTTAATATTTAAACTCTTTTACTTTGAATTCTTTTTCTTTCTTTTTGTCTAATTCTTTCTTTGAATTTTTTTATCATTTTAAAGTCCATTCTTTTTAAATTCTCTTTGGTTTTGAGTCTTACATTTATTTATTTTTTTCTTTTACTTTTTTAAACGTTTTTTGTTTTATTTCTCTTTAATTTATAATTCTCTTCTCTTTTTTTAAATCTTTATTCACTTTCTTCTCCTCCCTACTTTTTCTTCCCTCAGACATTTCCGTGTCTCTGTTTCTGCTGTACTTCATGAAGGCTGATTTGAAAAAAGGAGAATGAAAACAGATAAAGTATATCTGGCACTAGAAATGAGAGGATCGCTCAGTCTGTCTGTCTGTCTGCAGTTCTTTTTTTTCTGCAGTTCTTTCTTTTTTCTCTTCATTCTTTGCGTTTTTTTTCATTCTTTCCTCACTTCTTTCTCTCTTTATTTTTCTCTACTCCACCATCAATTACATTACCTACAAGAACACTCTAGAAGATTTTCAGAACCCCTCCAGTTCTACTCTTTCTTTCCCACTCTCTGCCTTTCCACTTAGCAGACTTAATGTCTGCCATTTGGAAAATGCTAAATTGCCATGGGATTCAATTCACGCTTTTCCAAAAGAAGAAGAGTAAGAGTGAGACAAACAAAGTTGGCAAAATTAAGTTTTATATTTTTCTCCTTCTGATTTAAAAGTAACCAAAGCTGAATGGCCATGGATTTGTTCAAGTGTGGCACTGAATTCACTAAAATTAAAACATTTCTACAATTAGCAATGAAAACACAACAACAGACGAAATAAAATTTAAAAAAAAATTAGGATCAAGCTCCATGGATGAGATATAAAAGGTTCATGCCGAGATAGAAGAATAGTTTTATATTCTGATTTTCTAAGCCTTGCAGGATTTCCCTGTTTGGAAGTCCCACATTACAAAAACTCATTTTCTCATATTTGGTCTTGTAACAGATTAAACTAAATTTAATTAATATCTATACTTATTCAGGTGCCTCAGTATTGGTTAACTCGTGTTTGTTTTAATCATTAATAGTGATTTTGATCCTGACTAGTTGCTCCATACAAAATTAAGTATTAAGTAAGGTGACAAGGATTGACACCTTGTCAAATCAACCAACCGACCTAGCCATTGCACTAAGTTTTATTGTTATTACTAGCCTAGAAATTGACCCTTTAGGCAGACTTTAAGGTACCCCCTGTGAAGGGCTTTTAGATCTTTAGCCTTTTACCTTCAGTATCTTATTTACATAAAAGTTATAAGAATTTAGATATAATAAAATTATTTTGCCTTCAGTCGGCATAATCTTTCTTCATATATGCAACCAATCTCTATAGTTTCCATTTATTTTGTGTCCAATTTTTTTTAAAACCATCATTCTTTATGAGCCCTTCACATATAGTCACTCTTGACAGACATTAGAGAACCAAACGATATAATATTTTGAATATGTCATATTACGTGTGCTAAAAAAAGAAAATAAACATATGTGCAACATACCATGTCCCACTTATGTTTTAATTACAGTTTAATTAGACAATATCAACTGCAATTATGATGAAAAACAAAATTAAAGTTTCATTTTCAAGTTTTTTTTCACTGCTCTTTTGACTGTCATAGTTGAAACTCCTTTCTTATGTGCCTTGTGTCTTATGGATTGATTGAATCTTTTCTCATTGATCTCTTTAGCTCTTTGCTGAAATGATGATCTTTCTTCCTGTTGGCACCTCCTGATTCAGTTTGCCTCTCTACTGTTTCTTCTCTTTTAAACTTATTCACTTTTCACTTGATGGTTCTTGAATGGACTTTGGAGATGAAAGCCAGATTATGAATGTTGGTACCATAACTGAAGGAAGACAGTGTATGTTAACACAAAACAATTTTAATCTGTTTTATTCTCAAAGGGGTTTCCAGTGATTATTATGAAAAATTGTGTCAAGATGTCTGAACATTTTATTTGAAAACCTGGAAAAAAAAAAACCCAATTAGTTTAATATTTTAGATATTAAACATTTTTGAGATAGACAATTATACTGTAACATGATTTCAATGATATTGTTGTTATAGACGATATATATATATATATATATATATATATATATATATATATATATATATATATATATATATATATATATAGTGAAGTAGTGGGTAGTGGCTTGGACTGAGGGCTCAGAGAGCCGAGATCGAATTCCAGTCAAATCCTTTACATTCACTTATATGCTAATACCCTTGTGAAAGGTATAAATCCTCTTCTTTTCCCTCTAGCTATGGGTAGGACAGACTGGGTTCTATAGCCTTGAATGGCAACTGGTCTAGGAGAAGGACAACTCTGAATTCAAAGCCTGTGGAGAGTTGTTTGGGGACCTTGTAGCACATAGTGCACCAGGTCTTTGTATTCAGCCCTTTAAAAAGTGTGGTTGGTTCTGCACAAAGCCTTCACAACGATAATCAGATCATATGTGCTGGTGTCTGGCTGTTGGTTTTTAGGAACTGAGTTACTTGACCGTCATATATATATATATATATATATATATATATATATATATATATATATATATACACTGCTGGCCCAAATTTTAAGGCCAATGCAAATAAAGAAAAAATATACAGTTTGTATTGTTAGATTCAATCACTTATTTGAGTAGAGCTTCAAAAAATGAAAAGAAAAGGAAAAACAAAAATTAAAACTTTTTAGCATTTAATAAGAAAAATTTAAATACTGGAAAATTAGGCAGTGAAAGAAAATGAGAAAACATTAGTGAAGAGAAAGAACAATAAAAGAAAAGGTTTCAGGAATACAGAAGATGGCAATTGATGTTGCATTTAAATTTTTGAAGGTCATATTTGACAGGAAAGTAAAAACTGGAAGAGAGTTTCACAGGTGAGAACAACTATTAGAATATTACTTATGATTACATCTCGCTATTTTAACAGTAAAATGAGAAGACTTAATGGCCAATCTAGTACAATGCTTAAATTCATATGGTCAAGGTACCAAAGAGGAAAGCTCATTAGAACAATGATCATGAAAATATTTATAGTAAAGACAAACGGAACCTGTGTTAGAGCTGTGGTAAAGTGCTTGAAGCCAAAATGCCAGGTTAGGACTGATAAAATTACAGTCCCTTAAATACTTGTGCAGAAATATAAGTCAATAAAATGTTTGTTTAATTTTTGCTATTGTAAAGCAAGATGTGAGGTCATAACCATTTAATTTTAGAGATTCTTCCTTGGATTATGTCAAGAATCTTGAAATATATAGCAGGAGAACCAGACAAGGTGTTGCAGCAATATTCAATACATGGACAAATGGTAAATTTATAAATGTGCAAGACAGATTCTGGCAAGAAATATTGTCTGGCACAACATTGTTATTATGCTTTCTGAAGTCTTTTAATTTTTCTATGGTTTCAACTGGCTG